AGGATCAGCCTGTGGGTTACATCAATGGTTTTGTATTTCTTCTATCGGTTTGTGTTCCACCAATACATTTTGAAATCTCAGCTACAATTATCAATTTTAAAATAACTCGTAATGTTTAACGCAGATTTGGTTTTATGAGCACACTTTCATGGTCCTCCCAGCATTGCCTCAAGCTAGACCAAGAATGTTGAGGTGGTCAAATGTGAGGTGGAGTACTCTGAAGATTCAGGTAGCCTTTGAAAGGCTTAAATCTGCCGAGGTCAGCAATTTAATTTTTTATTTCATAGAATTTATTTTTTTCACGTGATTCTTTCATTGATTTTGACTCTATGTAATGTCTTGCAGGTTTTTTATAACTTTCTTAAAATTTTAGATAGCGAGCATCATCTCCTTGGTTCTCCATTACAAGAACCATCTAGTCCCGAACAACATCTCCCACAAAAGGACGTTATATCCCAACCACAGTCGCCCGCATTCATTGGTACTGCTGAGCCTATATTTCCTTATCGTACCAGTCCCCCACCACATGACGAGAGGCATCAACATAGTACCTCTAGTAGTGGATTTGAAGAAATCCATGAATTACTGAAAGAGCATCATAAACTGTTCATGAAATTTCAAATCTCAGTGCTTAATCGGCTGACAGAGCTAGAAAATACAATGAAAGACTTAAAATCAGAAGTTAAAGACATAAATAAAGCTCTAAAATCACCCGTTGGGACATTACCAACTAAATGGGTGCGACAGTCCCCGCTAGGGAGCCTAATTCATAGAATTAAGACAAGAAAGAGGAGAAGAAAGAAGACTCTCAGTTCCCCATTTTTGGCATTTAAACGGAAGAAGAAGCAAAAACCAAGTCAGGAAGTCGCTAAAAAGCATGAAGAAGTTCAACACTTGCACATAAGCATTATACTTAATAGTTCTTCCTTACTAACTTAACTAACAATATTTCTTATTTAACAGATTGATATTGTGCGTACAAGTGAAGTAAATAAATTCGATCAACAAATCATAACTGTGTATAGTTAGGCTACTGACGAAGCTCTGCAAACACCACCAGTAGATAAACACAGCGATCAAGAACATTATGCATTATGTTAATGAAGATAGTAAGGCTACTGACGAAGCTCTGCTGGTGATTAAGAATGATATCATAATGTTCTTGATATCATAATGTTCTCGATCGCTGTTTTTATCTACTGGTGATGTTTGCAGAGTTTCGTCAGTACTCTTACTATACACAATTATGACTTGCTGATCGAATTTATTTACTTCACATGTACGCACAATATCAATCTGTTAAATAAGAAATATTGTTAGTTAAGTTAGTAAGGAAGTACTATTAAGTTAATGCTTATGTGCAAGTGTTGAACCTCTTCATGTTTTTCAGTGACTTCCTGACTTGGCTTTTGCTTATTCTTCCGTTCAAATACCAAAAATGAGGAACTGAGAGTCCTCTTTCTTCTCCCTTTTCTTGCCTTAATTCTATGAATTAGGCTCCCTAGCGGGGACTGTTGCACTCATTTAGTTGGTAATGTCCCAACGAGTGATTTTAGAGCTTTATTTATGTCTTTAACTTCTGATTTTAATTTTTTCATTGTATTTTCTAGCTCTGTCAGCCAATTAAGCACTGAGATTTGAAATTCCATGAACAGTTTATGATGCTCTTTCAGTAATTCATGGATTTCTTCAAATCCACTACTAGAGGTACTATGTTGATGTCTCTCGTCATGTGGTGGGGGACTGGTACGATAAGGAAATATAGGCTCAGCAGTACCAATGAATGCGGGCGACTGTGGTTGGGATATAACGTTCTTTTCTGGGGGATGTTGCTCGGGACTAGATGGTTCTTGTAATGGAGAACCTAGGAGATGATGCTCGCTATCTAAAATGTCAAAAAAGTTATAAAAAACCTGCAAGACATTACATAGAGTCAAAAGCAATGAAAGAATCACGTGAAAAAAACAAATTCTATAGAATAAAGAACTAAATTGCTGACCTCGGCAGATTTAAGCCTTTTAAAGGCTACTTGAATCTTCAGAGTACTCCACCTCACATTTGACCACCTCAACATTCTTGGTCTAGCTTGAGGCAATGCTGGGAGGACCATGGAAGTGTGCTCATAAAGCCAGATCTGCGTTAAACTTTACGAGTTATTTTAAACTTGACAATTGCAGCTGAGATTTTAAAATGTATTGGTGGAACACAAACCGATTGAAGAAATACAAAACCATTGATGTAACCTAAACACAAAACCGTTGATGTAACCAACTGGCTGATCATTTTTAATTTTAGCCACACAAACGTTAAGTTGCGTCTGCAGAAATGCACGTACTGTAGCTGGCCAGTTGTACGCTGCAAAAATATATACATTCTCGCAAATAGAAGACAATTCTTTCGAAACTCTAAAATTGCTTGAAGGAAAAAATAAATTTGAAATTAAAAATTTGATTATTAATTGCAGAAGGTTGTGAGATGACTCCCCTAGTGAAAAGTTGAGCAGCGCAGTCTTAATTTGTCTTGCATCCATTGTATCAGGCGGTGCATTGGTCCAACATGCAGGTAATCCTCTATTGGGCATGCCTAGCAGTAATGCAACTTCTTCAGAAACAAATTTGACATCTTTCCCTCCCAAAATGAATGTCATTCGATCAATGTCCCAACAATTAATTATGTGCATCGTCAAAATATTGTCCTGGGGGATACAAAGGGAGTTCAAAAAATTGCGCCAGACTCAAGGATTCCAATTTATGTCATGTGTCCTCATCGACTTTTGGTCGGACATTATCGAGAACCTCTCGTACTGCAGATGGACGGCATCTGCAACTAATTGCTTTTGAGTTCAAGAGCCTACAACAATACAGGAGAGAAGTTTAATAAAATCTAGATGATTAATAAAATTCATTTCACAACAAATTATTTTAGGTTTACAAATTATTTTGCAAAATGAATTATTTTAGGTTTTCTAATTTTAGGGTTTAGAATCGCAACCCATTCTCTGCGCGTGTACCCTAATTTTAGGTTGAATCTCAACCCTAAAATCAGGTATTAAAAATGGTGTAGAACCATGCACAATAATCAAATAATTGTTGGACATATATTTCTTGTGCTTCTTAACCGTGAACAACATATCACCATTCAAAGGAAAACGGCTACAACAAACTAAGAAATACCTGGAAACGGGATGAGTCTCTCCCTTTTTGGACTGTTTGCGGCTTGACTTCACTGTAACGGTTGCCTGCTCGCGTCTGGGGTGGTTCTCACCCAAATCCGCACCAGTAGTCTCTGCCAAGATCGTCGTACTGTCCTTCTCCTCCATTAGGCGTGTAACTCCTCACAGTAGCAAAACCCTAACCTTCAAGATCGTCGTACTGTCCCGATGGAGGAACCCTAGCGTCTGTGAATCCCTTCTTTCGAATGTGTTACAGTGTTTTTTTTTTATTATTTACCAGCGTAAGTAAATAAGTTATAAGAGTTACATGGACGTTACAATCGGCTTACAAGCGCATTTCGGGTGTACATGGAGGGTACATTCGGGTTACAACGACGTTATATTCGGTTTACACGCGTGTTACAATTGGCGGAGGTTACTTTGGCTTTACACGTGATGTACATCGAGTGTACATCTGATTTCTGACGGCGGGTTTACCGCGGAAGTGAGCGTAGGTTACATCGGGCGTACACCGATATTACAAGCGCTGTATATGGGGCGAACAGTAGAGTTTACATCGGGATTACATGGGGCTTACACGCGCTGTACGGAATGTTCCACCGGCTGTACAAAGATGGTACACGCGGGTTACAATGGCTTTTCCTTAATGTACACCGGGATTACATCCTTTTGTCGACAGCGTAGGTTACATCGGGCGTACACCGATATTACAAGCGCTGTATATGGGGCGAACAGTAGAGTTTACATCGGGATTACATGGGGCTTACACGCGCTGTACGGAATGTTCCACCGGCTGTACAAAGATGGTACACGCGGGTTACAATGGCTTTTCCTTAATGTACACCGGGATTACATCCTTTTGTCGACAGCGTAGGTTACATCGGGCGTATACCGAGATTACAAGCGCTGTATATGGGGCGGACAGCAGAGTTTACATCGGGATTACATGGGGCTTACACGCGCTGTACATTGTGCGGACAGCGGAGTTTACATGGGGATTACATGGGGCTTACACGCGCGGTACATGGGGTGGATAGCGGAGTTTACATCAGGATTACATGGGGCTTACAATGACGGGTCGGGTCGACGGGTCACGCACGATAAAAAATATATTTTTATAGGGGTGGGGTGGGACCGACTGAGCCCAAGTGTCTTTCGTTTCGCAAGCAGCGCTCCTATGTACCCAAATTTTTTCCCCGCTAATGTGCCGGGACAAGCGGTATCGTCGTCTCGGGTTACCGATTCGGCCGATGAGAAACATTTCTTTCTCTCATAGGGTTTTACTTCACCCGCAGACGAGCTCGAACGCATCGTCATGGCGAATTCGCGGGTACTGCTCTACCCTAGTCTTTCATTGATTTGAATGTTTACTATTCCTTTCTCACTTCGTGACTGAGACCGAATTGATTTCTCCATGAGTATCTGTATGATCATTTACTGGCGAGACTCTCATACTGTGTATAGTTATAAGAATCTAAATCCCAAATTTAGATGAAAAGGGCATCAATCTGCCACTTCTGACTCTGTTATAGGTAAATTGATGATCAGAGTGCACTTCTTCAAGCTCATGAGCGGATTCTTGTGCTCAGACTGAAACCATACCTAGAAAATCCCATGCATGGGATTTCATATTCCGATAAGATTCACGCGTGGATGTTAATCCTATATAACAAATCACAATGAGTGCTGTTTGCATATTAAAAAAAACTTGGATGAAAAAACTTCATCAAATCTTTTAGAAATTCTGATATAATTTATTAGGCTTTGTTCATCTTTTAATTTATCCAGACATTTCATCTATTTGATTTAAATGGTTAATCCACGAGCCTTTTTAATGTACTCTTCTTCACATAGAATGATTATCTCCGAGCTTGTTGATATCATTCTCTTAAAGCAATTAGGCAGTCATAATAGATAAAACATATTTCTTGATATTTGGTTGATTAAATTTAAACAAGGTTAATGATCGAAAAGATAGAGATTTTTTTTTATTTTAAAATTTTTGTGAGTGGTTTCGACATGTAATCATAACATCATGGCATCTTAATCCTATATGCCTTCTATGTCTATTTCATTTATTTCTTTAATCATGCAGAAAGGGTTAGTTAAATTAGGTGGTAGCTTTTGTTTTTGTTGTATTGTTTTTGTACGTTGTAAGTGGAATAATTTGCAGGACTTACATATAAACTCTGTTTAAGGGATATCAAAATATTGACTTTAGCCTCACATTAAATAGTTGAAAAATATGTTGGTATTAATTTGATAGTGGTTTGTCCTCTTCCATTACATATGTTAAGATTTTTGGTATCTTTTCAAGTGTTGCTTTTACTAGGAGTTAAGCTTTCAATGGAGATGGAAAATAAAGCTTTGTAGTTTCAACATGTGAAGGATGCTTTGAGGCATGTTGATTGTTATTTTATATGTCTGCGTTGTAATGTTTGGCTTTTGTGATTGTCTAGAGTTGACCTTGAAAAGTAGACGTGATTGTTTCGAGAGGACCTTAGCTTTATTTTTTTTTGAAGCTCATGAACTTATCGAGAATGTGAATAAGGTCAACAACCTATGATGTGTCATTTGCTTGTCATTTTTTTTTCTATTTATTGGGTTTATTTCTAGTTGTCACACCTTGCCAATGAGGATGATGATTATTTTCCATTTGTGATTAATCCTAAATTTGGCATTTTGTATAAAAAATAATTTTAATTTATTAGAATTAAATGAAAGTATGACACTTGATTGGACACAATGTGGAAAAAAGCTTCCTGTAGCCGAACCCACTTAGTGGGACAAAAGCTTTTTGTTGTTATTGTTATGACTAGTTATTAACGCCTATTCTTGTTGGGATTGGCTTAGTGAGGATCCTTAAATTCATGGGGGTATTGTGCAGCTTGAGGAAATTCCAACATTATGTGAATGTTTTAGGTTTGGGTTCAGGCAGCCATCTCACTTTGAAATACATCAATATTCTTTGTCTTGTATTTTTAGATTCACACCATTTTTTATTACTTTAACTCCCCTTGTTAATGTAGATACAATGTCAGTAAAACATTTAAAAAAACTACTCAAAGCATTGGGACCGTGTTTGTGCCTATTCCACAAGTGGAATGAGCCGTGACAAGTGCTTGATGTACAAGGCCGCGTGTCGTGTAATTATTCAACATTAAGAAATTGTGTGCACTCTGTAGATTTTACAAGTAGAAATACATATTTGTCATATATTTGATTCTATTTTGGAAATATATTACTAGGGATTATGCTTATCTTTTTCCTTGAGAATGATACAAAGAACTAAAGTTTGGTGATGAGAAGCCTGAAATTGACTATTATCTACTGCAAAATGATGCTTATGCACCTTTAGTTCTAAGTCCACTATAGTTACCCAAGATAGGAATTAATGAAGATAAATTAGTTGGTGAGTGTTATCAACTTTCCTATCTAATATAGATAAGATAAGTACTAATATCACCTTTCTATCAATTTAAAAATGTTTTTTAAGTGGTTCTATGTTTAAGATAGAGTTTACAATGTCCAGATGATTTTAACTAGTCTCTAATTGCCAAATCAGCACAGTTCGAAATGTGAGGAGGCTACAGTGATTAATTGATAAATATCGATCTATCTTTTCTCTTATGAAAAATTAAGGGCTTACTTGGTTTTATGAGCTTGGGAAATTTGGTGAGTTGAATTAGATTTTGTAGCAGCAAGAAGGAAAGCTGTGGCCTGTATTAATAGTGGAACAACAACTTGATGCATATGTGGGGCTCAATTATGCGAATAATGATAGCAAATCATGTTATTTTTATTTTTTTTTGAAAAAGTAAGTGCAAACCCATTGATTTTTAAAATTGAGTCTTTCTTTATAACAAATGTGCCTAACAGGATTGTCATAAAAGGATTATAAGATTTACACATTGATTGCTTTTGGTTTAATGTTTCTTCCCCGCTATCAATGGAGGAGCTGTAACTTCTAGTAGAAGTGTTCTTTAAGTTAGTCTAAGGATCTCTCAGAAGGTCTTTCATCCACGAGAGAGATCCAACCTAAAGAAACACAGCTTTCTGACATTAAAAACGTGCTTTGGACTATATTGAGTTAATAAGACATTAAAATGGGTGATTTAAAGGTCTAAAACCATCCTAGAATGGCTGAATCATTAAGATTAGAAGTTTTCTTGGATTTGCTACCTTTTAGAAGCAATTCATGCAAATTTTTTTATATCACATGACAATTGACTGCCCGCAAGGGAAAAGTTCCATTCAATTATTATATGAAATAGGCCTCGTACTCATAATTACCCCTTTAGTTTCAAATGTTTCTCTTTTGCATGTGACTGAAGTCATGCATCCCAAAAGATATGCATGTCGGCTATTTTTTTTATAATATATATATATAATGTATAATTTAATTTTAATTTTGTGAAAATGGTATCCTTTTATTATTTTTTTTTAAAATGAGACCGAATAGATCTCATATATTTAATAGTTTAAACAGCTGAGCACGATACCATAAATGATATATCATCTTGAAGGATGGACATATCACTTATTGGTAGACTTAACTATCTAAACTTAAAAGTTTATGACTCTATTTTGGTTTGCGAAATTTATAGCCGACAAATTTTCCTATCTAATATACAGATTAGATAGGGTTTAAATTAATCTGGGTTTTTAAACTCCCTATAGGAGCAAGCCTTATAGTTAATTACATCTTAGATAACCGAAGTTACCTAAGAAAACTCTCGATAATGATCAGAGGTTTCGTCTTCAAGAATTCAACGTTCAAGTTTCCACGATTGTTCATAGGAAAAAGTCAAATGAGATAGGTTCAAATAGGAATAGTTATTTTTAGAATCCAAAGGAACGAAACGTAGGAGATGTTGGAGATACTGAAGGAGATTCAATAACATCTCAAACTAATGTATGATTTAGCTTTATATATTTGAAAAAGAAATTATTTGATGTTTCAATCCTGTAAATTATTTAGATATTCAGGACTTACATATGTATATCATATGCAAATAGCCTGAGAAAATGTGAGGCTTTATGTTGTACTAAGCGACGACCTCGGAATCCTAAAAAATTTAGGATTTATTGTACGATATAAAATCGTAGAAAGTCCTAAAAGATAATGTCTTAAAAGATAATGTGAGGATTTACGTCGTGCCAAACAAACAACCTCGACGTCCTATAGTTATGTTATTTAAATCTATCGAGGTTCTGCATAAGCCCATCCTTCCGTCTTTGGTGGTTGTCTCGACTGTTGTCTGGAGATGAATCATCAACCGACCACGTCATCGTCTCGTTCCAAGAAGAATAGAGAGAGAAGAGGGAATAATAAAAAAAAAGCATGCCTTGAACGGCCTATCCCAGGGGATTGCACAAACATATTAGAAAGGTAACAACTAAAATATGAATACTGGTAAATGTATACAGCACAACAAAAAATAGACAAAGAGACTATGCTGTAAGATTTGATAAGAAAGTGCATGAGACATGTAGCGAAGTGTAGTACGTACAAAATAAAAGGAAATATGCAGAAAATAAATAAAAAACGTACCTGATCAAATTCTGCTAAAGCTTCAAAACAGATTGCAATTATATGATATAAATGGGTTAAGTAAACATTTGCAGATTATAAAAAGAAAGTTAAATGATGAGCATATGAAAGTCTCAAGATGGGATTTTAGATTTTAATTTGGGGATAGACTCAGACTAGACCCCTTTTCTCTCTATCTCGATCCTACAGACAACTGATATATCGAGGTCAACCTAACAACATCAACTAGAGACCACCAACGAATCACCCCTATAATCGGACAGTCTTAAACCCTGTCGTTTAGTGAATATGTGAACGGAGTAGTATCTGAACTCCTCAAAGTGCAGTGCACCCATACATGAAATGTAGTATCTGAACTTATCAACATGCAGTACACGTGCCTGTGAAATGTAATATTTATCGTGTATGGCGTAGTGTGTGAACCATATAGTGTGTACGAGTGTAATATCTATTTTTTGTGCAAGTATAATATCTGTGTGAAACCCGTAGTATCTATGCATGATATGTAATATCTGTTGTGCAGGGTGTAGTGTGGGGATATAGTGTATGCAGTATAAAAAGGTGATATGATAATACTTAGATTCATCAAATAAAGATATGTGGTGTATCTGTGTATGGTGTACAAGATGTACTATGTGATGTATGAAATGTACATATAGGTGATATCCAATGTATGCATGTATTAGTCAGGGTATGGTGTCTATAATATAGTGTCGTATCTGTTCTTTTGCGAGTGTAGTATCTGTGCAATGTCTGTAGTATCTATTCTTTTATGGGTGTAGCATCTGTGCAATGTCTGTAGTATCTGTTCTTTTTTTTTTTTGGCTACCGATTCTCGAACCTTTTGAAAAAGGGTTAGAGCTGTTGACGATCTAGGGGTGAAAGGGCATCACACTAATTGAATATTGATTTTATATTTCAGCTATAAACTAAGCTGTCAAATGGTTCTTTTGCATCATTGCTTGTTACCCCTCATCTCAAACTAATAGACCACCTCAATATTTCATATTCTCATTCAACAAATTTTGTATATATATTTCATATCAAGGAAATGGGAGAAGCAATCATTTAATCCTTTCTACAACATCTATCTTCTACCTTAAGTTCAAACTTTAACATATACATGTCCCTATTGTAAATCCCATGAACTTTCCATAAACAAATATGCTGCATTCTTGTATTATCGAATTCAAATCCACATAATTGATACCGAAAGCCAATTCCAGCAACCTTTAAGGATTAAATAAACATCCCTCCAAAGTTTCAGCTTATGCATTCAAATAAGGCAACGAAAGGTACGGGAATTACAATTCCAAAGTAAATATTCAAATCGAAAATATTCCTTTATTTCATGCATTTAAATGAAGCAGCAATGAGCATAGAAATCAACCCCCATCTGTTTATTTAAAATCAAACAATCGATCTCAATATACCTTCAAACAGAGGTAGCAAGAAGTATAGAAACAGGCCCCAAACAGGTGTTAAAATGATCTCCTATATATATTCAAACAAGGGAGCAGCAAAGAAAACCAAAACCAAATTCCAAATGCATTTTTCCAACCTTAAAAAAATGACTGTCAGCAAGTATTCGAACAAAGTACAGCAAAAAACATTAAAACTGAGTCCCAAATGTATATTTTCAAACCATAAAATGAATTCCAACAGGTTTTTTTTTTTAATATATAAGGGTCAGCAACAAGCTAAAAAAACAGAAAAAAAAAACGAGATTTAACTGAGAGTAGAAACCAGAACCAATTCTAACGAAGAGCAGGAAGCAGAAACCGAACCACAACAGGGAGCAAGAACCGAAACTGAATCCCAACAAGAAAGAATCAGAATCAATTCTAGTAAAGAGCAGGGATCGAAACCGAACCACAACAGTGAGCAAGAACCGTATCCCAAATATATTTCCCGAGTCATAAAAATGATTTCCATCATATATTTGAATAAAAGGTAGCAAAGAATATTAAAAGCCCAAATTCCAAATGTATTTCCAAATCATTAAAATGTTCTCAATGTCGGAGTTCAGGTAAAGAGAATTACAGGAAATGTAATTGTACCTCCATATAAAGGTTAAATCAAATCCAACAAATACCTAAAGGAATAGGCCACCAACAAGCCAAAAACGAGCCACCAAATGACTATCCAGACCTTTTAAAAATTTTCCCAATATTGAAGTTCAAGTGAAGGGAGCTCTAGGAAACATAATTGAACTTCCACATAAGAGTTAAATCGAATCCAACAAATAACTAGAAGGAATAGACCACCAACAAGCCAAAATTGAGCCACCAAATGACTATTCAAGTTATTAAAATTGATCTCAAACATATATTTAAACAAGAAACAACAAAGAGAAATTAAAATGAATTCCAAATGCAGTTTCAACAATATTCGAACAAAGGGGGCAGCAAGAAAAATAAAAAAAACCGAGCCCCAAATGACTATCCAAGTCATTAAAAATATTTTCAGTATTGAAGTTCAAATAAAGAGAATTATAGGAAATGTAATTGAACTTCCACATAAGAGCTAGATCGAAATCAGCGAACAACCAAAAGGAATAGGCCACCAACAAGCCAAAACCGAGCCACCAAATGGCTATCCAAGTCATAAAAAAATGTTTCCAGTATTGATAAGTAAAGGCAGCCATGGTATAGATATTCACGAAGAAGCTTTGTTTCTTCATCAAAAAGATGATCAAATTGAAATATCATTTCTATGTGATCTATTCATTTCATGAGTCAGAGGAGATTATCACATAGACAATTAATTCAAAGATTAAACAACATTCTAAGAGTACATGGAACCTGACCTTGATTCCTTGTTAACGCAAGAACTAGAAGAGTAAGAAAATCCTAAAACAGAAACTTCCAATAGAGAAAGAGCTCTCTACACTGTGTTTTCCCAAAATCTCCAGAGAAGAATAGCAGCCCAATCTTCCTCAAGAACTCGAAAAGAGAGAAAAAACAACACTATATCTTTTCTAAAATTTCAACAGAAAACATCGCGTCTCTTCTTCCCCTCATATGGGGTATTTATAGCCATCAAGAGGGCCAAAGCTCACTGGCAATAAAAAAAAAGGGAGGTGACAAGAAACATCTCAAAGGGCAAAGAGAACATTCAAATTCAAGAACAAACAGGTTACCGAACTCGTTTAGGTGGGAAATTTTGTTACAACGGGCTACCGGCGAGGTTACCGGAGAGGCCACCGGCGACGAAGGCTCGGAAAGGGAAGGGATGACCGACAAACCGGCAAGAGACTCCACGGCTCGGCTAGGGCAAAGAACAAAGGCGCGAGGAAGTTGAGATTTTTAGGTTTTAAAAGATTATCTTTTATAAAAAGAAACTTTATCAAATATATTTTTATTTTATTAAAGAAAATATTAATAAAATATTAAATTTTGTGTGATCCACTCGTGCTCGGAGTCCCGACAAAATGGGTGTCCGCCTAGCTAAAATCGACGTTCCGGACGCAACGACATGATCCATTTCATCATTCGGAGACATCCGGACAAATTCGTCGTCGATCGCGTCAACGCGTCAAATTAACTTTGAATTAACTTTGATTCGCGCGTGGCATGACAAATGAATTTATTTTGTCCCGATCGGAGTCGTTTAACGAGTATATTATTGATCAGTCCTCACATAAGTGACGACCAAAGTCAAACATACCGCTCGTAGTGGCCAGTCAAACATCGCACGCGCCACGGTGTCCACCTATGTCTTTCAAATTTCTACAGGAGCTCAATTTGAGCTTCAATATGTTAGCTTTTCGATCGACTCAACCGAATATTGAGGATCTAAAACTCTCCATATGAAACTGCAAAGAGCGAAGAAATGACTTGAATTTCTAAGGGGTGTGGGTCCCAGTCTAGTCCTCTAAGTGAATCAAAATAAGGAGAATCTTAAAGCTAGATCCTAAGGTATCTAGTGAATGGAAAAGAAGACCTCAAAATGAGGTCAACAATGCAGATGTTTGATAAGATAGTTATTTTTATCAGTGTTTACTCTCGTTTATGATTTCTCTAGATTTTCCTAATTGATGATACCATAAATTGGAAATGAGTTAAGTGTTCGTAAAGGTGACGGTGCTATTGTAGCTCAGTGCAGTGAGTGCATTTGCAATGGAAAAAAAATTTTTTTTTTGTTATAGTTCCTTGTATTCTCTAGCACTTGGATTAGAACAACCCGATCAATTAAGTTATTCTGAATCATTTTCGAACTAGGATCATGTATACATCTAATTTCTCATACTACTGTCATTTTAATTTAGGAAGATTTTTATACATACCACTCAATTCTTTTGTATTTACATACCTTATGCTTAAACTTCAATTTTTACATACAAGCCACACTGCCTATGTATGAAAGTTTGTATTTCACTTTTTAAGAGTTAAAATGGTGGTATTTTTGATGTGATATAAAAGATTTGGGTTTTATAAATGTAAAAAGTAAAGTATAGGTGTTAGACATATAAATACATTGGGTGGTATGTTTGTAAATGCCCTGTTAGTTTAACATTCTCATATGGACATGAATTGATAGTTTAACTGTGAATTTGTTTGCAATGTTTTAGGTGACGATTGGCTTTCTGCTTCCTCTTCAAAGCAATCTCACAGTGGATGATTCAGCACCAAGAATTTCAGTTTTTGAAGGAGTCAATTTTGTAGGACGTAATAACATAACAATGCCCGACAAGAGAGTTAGCCGTAAGCATATTAGTCTTCATGGTTCAAGTGACGGCATTGCTGAACTTACTGTAGTATGTTTCTTTTCTATTTTATTTCAGCATATAGTTTTATGTTATGTTTGCAACTATTTTTTGTTTGTTTTGATAAAATTATTATTAATTTTGAATGACGCTTTTGTTTTGTTGAATAGTGTATTAAATTTGTTGGCTAGTTTTATGAAGATTCTAGGAGCAATTGGGGGGCAACTTTAATAGATTGAAGTGATAAGTGGGTATGAGTTTCCAAAAATTTTACTTGTAGGTTTGGCATTTGATTTTTGTCGGGTGCTAAGAGAGTGGATTAGAGTCAGCTAAGTAATAATTCATACGTATTATTTCTCAATTTACCCAATTGGTTTACTACAAATAGAACTAAATTTTACCACTGATTGCAATTTCCGAAAATGATTCGATAAAACCACACTCTCAAACCATGAAATTGTGAGATCGCATAATTCTTTTTACACTAATGATCACAACTAGAATGCTCAATAATTCTTATGGTGGCGGAAAAAAAAAATCCTAGCTAGAAATTAAATGGATTGAGAAAAATCAGAAGTAGTTCATTTTTCTTACTTTTGTGTGTCACTAAATTCCTTTTATGTGAGGGATTTTTGGAGTTTAAACTCATTTTAATTGCTCACATCCAACTACACAGTAAATAGTGTAATCGTACAATAGAATCTGGCAGGGCAAAATTATTATTTTGTAGAATGTGTTTCCAATTTTTAAACAACAAATATGCCCAATTTGATTGCAAATCAGGTTTTGTAAACGCCTAAAAGTTAATGTATATGAGTGGGAAATTTGGTGGTGAATTTTAGATACACAAAAGCTAATTAAAGAAAAGAAATGTTTTTTTTTTTTATAAAACCACATGAACAATTTCTAATAATATATTAAATGAAAGCTAAAAGAATGCACTAGTGATTATTGATTACAAAGTTAAACCTTTAATATTTCATGATTTGTATAGTACTTTGGGTGAAAAAAATAGGTAAAAAAAAACCACAAAATAACTAAGATATTAATCTAAGCTTTGATTATGATATGTGTATTTTTCTTAACAATGTAGAAAAAAGAATGTGAAATGTTTTTGAAAAAAAAACTTTAAGTGAGAGTATCTTAAGGGATGCTTCTTTATACTAACAAATTAAGGAAAACACTATTTTCAACACGGACTGGTTCAAACATATAAGGTGAGTTATGCTTTATAATAGTTGAATTTAAAAAGAGAGAAATTTACACTATCGAAAATAATTTATTGAAATAAACTAATTAGAACTCAAAACTCTTTTGCTGTTGTCCAAATTTAATAGATTTAAAGGAGAAAATAATTTACTTCAACTCAACCATTGATTCTTTGAAATTAAGTTGAATCTACTTAAAATCTACTTGATTTATTTGATTACACACACATACATACACATAAAATTAACCCATTTATGAATTAAAAAGTATTGTTTAAAATTAAGGGACATGACCCGACTCGACTTTGTAGGTTTTGGGAGGGAAAAATAATTATTTCTTTTCAATTTCATAGACAACAATTACAAGATAAATAGAGGGGGTGACTCCCACATTAGGAACTTAATGAAATTAGCCAGAAATTTCTGTGATAAATGAAGGAAATATGAATTATTATATATCAATAATTCTAACTTCTAGAAATAGAAAAAAAAGAATATACTAAAAATAAAATATTTTTAAAATTCCAACACCCCACAAGTTGGAGCATGGATATCTATCATGCTCAACTTTCTTACCAGGAGATCAAAATTATGCCTGAATAGCTCTTGGGTGAAGATATCCTCTATTTAATGAGCAGTAGAGATAAATGATATGCAAACAACTCCACAATCAATATTCTCTTTTATGAAGTGTTTGTCAATCTCAACATGTTTTGTGGGATAATGCCACCAGATTTTATGCAATGCTTATGACTGCGTTCTTGTTACACTATAACTTCATTGACATGCTTTTTAGGATCCACCAGATTTTATGCAATGCTTATGACTGCGTTATTGTTACACTATAACTTCATTGACATGCTTTTCAGGATCCATAGCTCTTCGAGAATTCTTTTCAACCATAAAATCTCACATATTCTATTAGCCATAGCTTTATATTATGTCTCAACACCACTCCTTGCAACCACATTCTATTTCTTAATTTGCCATGTAACTAAGTTTTCCCACAAGTAGAAGTATCTAGAAGCTAGTCTCCTGTCAATAACTTAAATTGTCCAATCTGCATTAATGAATGCCTCTATGCTCCCATGAAAGAATAAACATTTTTCTTGTGTGCCTTTTAGATATTTGAGGATTTTATTGGACTGCTTCAAGCTGTTTCTCATTAGGTGAATGCATAAATTGATTTACCAAATTCACAATAAAGTCAATATCTAGTCGTGCATGGAATAAGTATATCAACTTTCTCACCAATTTTTGATATCTAACTGTATTCATCGGCTCACCTTCCCATCTCCTTTTTTCTGATTGGGATCAATTGGACCACTCATTCCAATTTTCTTGAGAAGATCAAGATCATACATCTGTTGGGAGACAACAATTCCTTTATTCGATCTAGTAACTTTTTTGTCAAGGAAATACCTTAGAAATCCTAAGTCATTGATTTCAAAAATAGATGATAGAGAAGTCTTCAAATAATTCATCTCATATGCATTATTTCCATGAGAATAATATTGTCCACATACATAATTAGTATGAGATCTCATCTTTCGAATGTCTGAAGAACATTGTATGATCTCCCTGTACTTGAGTATTCCCTTAACTTTTAACCAATAGTGTAAATTTTCAAACCATGCCCTCGGTAACTGCTTCAACCTGTATAAGAATTTTTTTAGTTTACACTTTTTTTTGTCAAACTTCTCGTCGAATCTCGGAGGTGTATCCATATATACTTTTTCCTGCAAGATTTTATTGAGGAAGGCATTGTTTATATCCAACTGTTATAGAGGTCAGTCAAGATAGCTGCTGAAAGTGACATAAGAATTATTTCATAGTTTAGTTTTGCAACTGGAGCGAATTTCTTTAATTAATCAATGTTCTAGGTTTGAGTAAATCCTTTGGTAACCAGTCAAGTCTTGTATCGTTCAAGAGAGTCATCAAAATTATACTTAATTGTAAACACCCATTTACATTGACATTTATCTTTCTGCTAAGTAGATCAACCAGTTCCCTCGTGCAATTTTTTGAAGAGCTTTCTTCTCCTCGAACATAGCCTACTTCCATTTAGGAATTTTCAGAGCATCTTGCATTGTACTAGGAATCTACATATTCGATAATTGTGAGGTAAAAGCATAGAAAATGTGCGAGAGATTTTCATATGACACATAATGGGACAATGAATGTTGTGTGTAAGATATTTCCCTAATTGGAAGGCTAGACTTATTAGACTTAGGATTCAAAGTAGGCTCAGATTCAGGGCTAGCAAACTCGTAACCTGTAGATGAAGTAAACTGAACATGTTGATGACATTTTTTGGGTTTGTGGATTCTGGGCAATGCAAAAGATTCGTAGACCATTTCTTTTGAGTTGTCCTCTGCCGCGAGTGGACAATATCAAACGGTACCACTGTTGTTTTTTTTTTTATATTTCTTCTTTGTCATGAACTTCATGAGATGACATTATAGGAACTTTAATATTTAAAAGAGTCGACTCACTCTCTCCTTATATAAAATTGTTTGAGTTTTCAAGCTGAATAATCAAGGTTGATGATATACTATTTTGAGAGTCTTCAATTTGAAAAAAAAAATTTCTGAAACTCAGTAGACAAATCTTTAATTTGTTCCTCCTTTAGAGATGAGGTGAAAAAAAGATTGTAATTTTAAAAAAACTTATATACATGGAAACAAATATTTTATTAGAGTTTGTATCAAATCATTTATACTCTTTTTGGTTAGGAGCATAACCAAAAAACACATTTTTTTGGCTTGGGGTTCAAGTTTTTCTTGATTATGAAGGTGAACGAAAGCAATACACCCAGATATCTTTAGAGTTGGAGAAGTTGAGAGCTGATTTTTTGGAAATTTATTTTGAAAATATCACAAGGTGTTTCAAAGTTTTAATTCTTATTTGTTCTATTTATGAGAAATGTAGCAATAAGAATGACTTCACCTCAAAGATATGTAAGATCCTGATTGATAAATAACAATGCCCAAACAATCTTAAATAAGTGCTTATTTTTTTCTTCAGTGCTCTCATTTTGTTGTTGAGTGTTAACATAAAAACTTTGATGAATTATTTATTTTTCAAGAAAGAATTGATTCAAAATATTTTTGAAATACTCGGTCATTATTATTCTGTAATATTTGAATGATTTTTTGAAATTGTGTATAGTGTAATTTTTTTTAAAATTATTTATAATTCAAAATTTTCTTTCAATACATAAACGAAACTTAACTTAAGGTGATTCTCAGTGAAAGCCACAAACCATCTTTCTAGAACGCGTGAGGTTTTTACGAGGACCCAAATAAGATGTTGTTGATTTGTATGCCTGTGGAGACAATAATGCATGATGATGTTTATTAAACTGACAAACTTCACGTTGAACAAAGACAAATTTTTATTCTGAAATAATTTGAGAAACAAATATTTTAGATACTGAAAGCTAGGATGACCTAATGTATTAAGTCATAACATAATTTTTTTGTCTTTAGAAACATAAATAAATTTTAAACTAGCACTTTGATATTATTTATTCGAGTTAAGTTTATCTTTTAAAAAATAGTCCATCTTTTTTTTTAGCACCATCGGTCATCTTGTACGTGATCAATTCTTGAAACTCATAACAACAAGAATAAAATTTAGCTACATTTATGATCAACAATAATTTTACTAATAGTAACAAATCACGCAATAGATTCGAAACATAAAGAACATCATCATGAAGGGTATCAACGAGGAGAGTTTGACAGTTTCTATCCCGGCTATCACCAAGAGGATACCATCAATAATTTTGATTTTTTTTTTGCCGGCACATTTACTCTTATTTTAAATCACCGTCTTGCTTTTGAATTCCCAATTTCAATTCCTTTTAAGATTCTTCCATCATGGAGACATTATTCTTCTACTTGATAGACTCCAAATTAACCCATCTATAGATTGACAGTTCATGACCATCAAAAACATGCTTTGCGGTGTGCAGCCATTCCATAAAATCATCCAGATTCAAAACCATCTTTGAAATACAAGTTTTTTCCTTCCTTCAAAATGTTGATAATATTTTCTTGGTTCCCTTCTTTGAAGCCATTGGTTGTATTCGTCGTCCTCAAATTAATTCTTGGAACATTTGATGAAAGTGTTTCTCCATTCTCATTTTTCTTATTGATTATCTGATTTGGAAGAATGCACTGCTCGCACACCGTAAGATATTGTAATCATTGAATTTCTCTTTGCAAGTCTTTCAGGGTGATTTCTTCATGGCAACTTTCAGATTTACAGCGCTGATGCCACTTGGCCCCAAGAGATTTTTGGAAATACCTTACAAACATACTTTACAATGCTAAATGTCTCTAATAATTAAGAAAATAAGTTTACTTCAACCCAATATTGAAACATTAAATGAAGAGAGGCGAAGTAGTATTACAAATTTAAAATAAAATGACTGAACTTTGTCGTTTTTCCAATTTCATTAATCAAATTGCTATTACCTTTATCATAGCTTTGATTTATCGATTTGAATGATTGAAAATGTTTAAATTAAATATTTTTGTGAGTGGAGATTTATGCAACTATGTTTTTATTCTATACCTAATGTTTAATAATGGGATGCCTTCGTAGGAAGGTCCTAACCCAGTCATTTTTAAATCTGGGGGTCAAAAAAGGAAGTTGAGCTCCCAAGAAAAACTCTTTGTTGATGACGGTGACATTCTTGAGTTGATTCCGGGTAGTCATTTCTTCAAGTATGTTAGAGCAAGTGGTAAAAATGTATTCTTTTCAGAAAGAGATTTAGTTTGCTCAGATAAGGCTCTTAAACGAGCAGAGAAGGAGGTCTTAGTTTATGATAAAAATTATCAAATTCTTCAAGATGAAGCTATTGCAAGAACGTTGCAGGTATTTCCTAATTTTATTGTTTACCTGCTTCCAATTTCAATTTAATAGGCATTTTTTGGTAATAATTTTATTGAATATTTCTGCAGAATTTGGAGGACAGCAAGTTGCTCGAAGTGAAGCTTTCAGTTGTTTCTACATCTCAGTCTTTTCTTCCAACGTCAGATCCGGTTAGTGATGCTGAAATTAGGGTTTCTTCGAATAGCGTGGCAGAATTTAACAAATTTGATGTTTCCGAAGATAGTTTATCTCTTGTCTTCCGGCTAATGCGAGTAGAAGGTCTTCCTGAATGGGCAAATGAATGTTCAATTGCTATTAATGATGTTATAGAGGTAATCTGCTAATTCAAACCCAGAGGGAATCAGATTTTGTAAACAATTTCAGTTAACAAAGAACCATTCTAATGTGAAATTTAATACCTGTAATTGAAGGAACAGTAAACTAGGTTAGGGTGTTAATAACTACTAATGACATGCCTTTAATTCATAGGCTATGCTATTTATTTTATTTTTAGACAGCCTATTAAATGCCATGTTTTTAAAGGTAGTTTTCACTGCTTGATTCTGCAATTTACTTATAATAATTCAAATCAAGCCCTTTATGGGGTTCATCTAGTTCTGACTGTAGTAAATGATGAACTTGTAACTGAAGGCTTAGGGTATATTGTAAATTATTTTGTATTTTAAATTATTGTGTATAGATTTCACTGATATCTTGTTAGTTGACTCTTTTTAGGGAAACATTCTTGTTGCTATTCTTTCGAACTACATGGTGGACATTGATTGGCTGAAAACTGGTATGCTAATCACATTGGAAATTTTAATGCCTTTTTTATACTTGCTTTTAGTTCTGTTTATTGGATGCAATGTTACTTGTATGCATTTTATTGTCTATGATATCTATGTACGTTACAAGTGCGTGAACAAAAAGTTTAGGTGTATCACGAGGATCTGATAATGCAAAGTTTTGCTGCTAAACTTTAAAATTGCTTTGATTTTCATCTGTTTGTGCTAACATTGGTTGAAAAATTATGAAATAGATTAGTATAAACTTTTGCTAAACTTTTGCTGCTAATTTTTTTTATCCTCTCTTATTGTTTACTCGAAAAGTATATAGTCCTCTTTCCTATACATTAGCGTAAAAGAACTTTATAGTATATAGTATAGAAGTGCGACATCACAGACCAAATCATTCGAAAATTCTACGGTTTATCAACTTATCTTCAGAATATTATATTTTTTGCCTCCACCAGCTTCATGTTATGAAATAGATTGGTTCAAAAGGGAAAGCTGCCCCAGATGTTCCTCCATTGATTTTTACTGCCAAGGGACCAAGCTTAAGGAACACAATATAGAGAAAAAGCTGGGTAAAGCTAAATAGAGAAATTCAAAAGAGCTTGTTGGTATGAATAAATCATAACAAAGCAGTGAAGCAGTGGGAACAGTTTGAACCTGCTCCTAGGAAAAGGAAATTTAATCCAGTTGAACCAGTGAACGGTGGGGATGCGTCCCCTTCAGCTCAATGTTGAATAACGTCCTCTTCTGGAACTGTCGCAACAAGAGTGCGATGATTTGTCGGGCTCCTTGAAACTATGATTGGGTATTTTGGGAACCATGATATTGATAAGCTTATTGGCAACAATTGGGGCTTTATTCATCAACCTGCTGAGGATAGATCTGACGGTATTCTAGTATTATGTAGAAGGGATATTGTATCTTTTGAACTTAAGGCTCAAACCAACCAATGCATTTGTGGTTGTTTGCATCTTCATGATGGTTCTAAAGCTGCTGTTTATGCTAACAAGGTGTATCATATTAGGAGGCTACTCTGGAAATCCTTTTCTAACAATTTCAATGTTTATCTACCCACTATTGTATCTGGGCATTTTAATTCCATCTTGAAGCAGGAAGTAAAGAATGGGGTAAACCCTTCCATTTTTCTACCAGAGCCAGGAAAATTGTCAAGAGTTTATGAGTTCTAATGACCTTCAGGATTTGGGTTTCATTGGTCCTTGTTTTACTTGGTCCGACAATAAAGATGGAAGAGCAAAAATTGGGTTAGGCATGACTGTATGATTATCAATTTCGCTGCTCTAGAAATTATTCCTTTTGCTAATGTTCGGCATTTGATTCGGGTTGCCTCTGACCATTGCCCTTCTACTCTTTCTACGGGGGTAATATCTCTCCTAAATCTGAGAAGTGTCTGAAGTTCGAAGATATATTGATTTCTTTTCCCCTTGCCTGGTGAATATGGCCTTTAATACCGGAGGAGGCCCGATTATGGTTCTAATGCTGAATTCCTGTAGAGGAAATGTAAGAGAATGTTAAAAGCTTTATTCTTTCGGAGCAAGAAATCTTAAACATAATTTAGAGATTGAGTAGCTGTAGGTTATGGAATGCTCGACTGGAAGGCTTTCCCAAGAGTTGGAAAAGAACCTCAGATCCAAAATTAATGGTCTCAATTCTACTGTTGCTCGAATTACTACTTGGTAGAGGCAGATAGCTAAGGTTCGCTGGATTAATGAGGGAGATGCTAACTCCAAATTTTCCACACCATGGTTTCTTCCCGCCGTAGATCCAATAGAATTTGCCAAGTTAAGGTGGTTAATGGTGATATTATTGATGGTCAAACAGAGATTCATGATGTCTTCTCGTATCTTTTTCACAATAAGTGGAAGCAAAAATTTTATGTGTTTATTGGCCAGCCTTTGATGAAAGATACCATATTAATATGGATATTACTGGTTTCCTGGAATCTCATATCTCTGAAAGTGAGACTTGGAATAATGTCAAATGTATGGGTTCAAATAGGACTCCTGGTTTGAATGGCATGACTACTTTCTTTTTCAAGCATTATTGACAAATTGTTAGCAAAGAAGTGTTATTGGTTGTCTGGGATTTTTTTCAGTCCGGTTGTACGCAAGAGTATTGGAAGAAGATTCTCATTGTTCTTATACCCAATACTAATATTGCTAATGCTCTAGCTAAATTCAAGCCCATAAGTTTGTGTTAGACCATTTATAAAATTATTGCAAAAAATCTGATCGTATGAAGTGTTTGTTGCCTACACTTATCTTTGAGGAGCAAGCGGCTTTTATACCTCATAGTCCCATTTCTTGCCATTGCCTTTTTGCCCAGAAGATGGTATTGTTGACCTCAATTTTCGTGAGGTCTAGTATTTCTCGTAGGAGTTAGGATCTAGCCTTAGGGGTCTTCCTGCGACTGTCTTAGAACCTTAGAAGTGGTGCCCGCCTCGTTTTAGTTCGACCTATTTCCGTCCTCTTTTGGAGTTTTGCGTGTGCGGTATCGACTTCTAACACTTAGAAGGATGAAACCGACATGAGGAAACCCAAAATGGATTCCTATAGAACCTTCCCGAGCCTTAGGGTGGCCTTCTGCACAATTCGCACTCCTGCGCGCACCAGCTTCGTAATTCGGAGAGTCGACGTGTCCGATCGCCGTAATTCACATTGACTGCACCGTTATTTGCCGAGGGCTCGAGTTAACCACTTGTGACGATCGATCGCGGGTCGAATTTTTGTGAAATTTGAATTTCGACGCGTTTTGACCC